AAATTGTGTGATTGAAAATAAGAGAGATAAAAATGAAATTTAATTCAATGAGGGCTTAATCATCTCGTCTAAAATTTTGGACAAGATGGTAAATGTATCGATCATCTTGACAAATAATTGACTGTAATAGTTATTTCTATTGAATAACTTCAATGAAATTAAATGCTAATATAATGTGAGTATCTTTAAAAAAAATACATAAAATAACTTTCTCAAAATCCTAATGATATCCACATAGTATACAGGAATCAGAAAAACAGATTAAAAAAAAAAAAAAATCCTAATGCAGCCATAAAATACATCCAGATGTTGTGGAAAAAAGTTTCAGATCACTTGAAAAAGACATGACATATAGATACATAAATATTATATGATTTATATCACAGTCAATCAATACCTGGTTTCCAAATCCAACACCTGCACCCAAACAAAGCCGTCCAACAATGAGCATCGGAAGATTCATTGCCGCGGCATCGAGAATAACACCGATAAAGAAGAAAAAGGCTGCCAATTGCATGGTAGGTTTTCTTCCAAACTTCTTGCAACATTTTGATGCAAAGAAACAGCAAACCACAGCCGCAAGGTACAAACTTGAAGTGAATAATTGAAGAAGTTGATTGTCATATTTGCAGTAGTTATTCTCTTTTGCTCTGTGCTTCTTCGTGTACACAACTGGAAAGAACTTCAACAAGAAATCATCCATGGATGTAACTCCTCCTGAAAATAGATAACATGTTATATACCGTTCGCACTTACTGGGAATCCCTCGTCCCAGAAAAAAAAAAGAAAAAAAAAAAGTACGTACGTACGTACGATTAAGGATTGCGAACCTGAAATACCAATGTCATAGCCAAACATAAGACCACCAAACGCTGCAATGATGGAACAAACAACGACTTGTGTTGTGAGCTTTGCGGGGAAGTCTTGACCCCCTTTTTCGAGGGACATGATTTGGGGAGCCATGGTTGCTTTGTTAGGGTTCTGAGAATGAGTGAAAATTTGGGATGATGACGATGATAATGAAGATGAAGAAGAAGCAAAAGCAAAAGCAGGAGAGAAAGGGGTGAGCGTTTGTTTGGACTAGGTTTCACTATCTTAACAACTTATATACTGTACCGGAGGTTAGGTTTGATCCTGTTAGAGTTCTGTTGGAACTAATGATTCCTTCTACATTATGGATATGGATAGAGATAATTATACTGACGTGTAAAATTATTATGATTTTAGTGTATTTTAAGATTTTATATTTTAACCTTGTTGACGACTAATTTCAGTGAAACTAAAGTACGTAATACCTAAAATGACACTTATTTTTGTCAGAGATGATGTTGTAAAATAATAACTCTTGCATGTAAGAGATATTACACTAGAATAACGATTGTATTATAATTCTTTCTGAATTATGAATATTAATGGCATGATTCTAATAGGATGATGTTACTTAACAATGTTGGGCGTTTAATGCATCTAAGAATAAATAGAAACACCTAGTTTCACAATGTTACTTTAACAAGGTTGGAACTTATGATTTCTTTTATATTATGGATATGGATATGGATATGGAGATACTTATACTAACTTGTAAAATTATTAAGATTTTTCGTTTTGACCTTGTCGATGACTAAACTGTAGTGCGTAATACCTAAAGTGACACTTATGTTTGTCAGAGATAATATTGTAAAATAATTACAACTCTTGCATGTTAGAGATAGTATTGTAAAATCGTCACACTCGTTGTAACAATAGAATAATGATTGTATTATGCCCATGTTTGGTACCACTAAAAATTCTGAATAAAATCAGAAGAAAAGTTACGATTAATTTTAACCACATATTTCATAAGATTTACCACAATTTTTTAACACACATTCATCATTTTTTACAAAATCCATTAAAATTTTGATTTTAATATGTGCCAAACACGGAATTCTTGCGAGATTGTAAATATTAATGGCACGATTCTAATAGGATAACATTACTTTAACTATTCTGGGAGTTAAATGTATCTAAGAAATCTAAGAAAAAAGAGAAATACTTAGTGGGAGAAGAAAAAGGGAAAATATAATTAAACAAGAAAAGGGTAAAAAAAGAATTTTTGATTTTTCGTTTATTGTTACATTTTCTTTTCATAACTGGCGCCGAATTATATTCCAAAGAACCTTTGACCAGTCTAAATTGACTCTTTCTTGTATAAATATTTGAGGATAAAATTTGTTTATTTCCATGTTAAAATTTACCAAATTTGTTCCCAATATTGTAATACTATTTTCACTTTTTTTTTAATTTTATCACATAATTATCAAATATAATTCTTTTAGCTAAACAAGTACATCATTCATTTTATCAACTTCAGAAGGTCATTTCGACTAGTTGAAAGTGGGATTATTAAACACAAGACCATTATCGTCCCTTGTCATAAGCGTACCTCATCAAGCCTAATTCTTGCTAGAGGTTATTATCCTTCCCCTTCGGATATGGTTTATTATGCTCTCTCTTCATCCGCGTCTTTACAAACTCGGGAGAAATTAAAAAAAAAATGATAAATGTAAAAGGATACTTGTGAACATAAAAAATAAATAAAACAATTAAATGGATTGGATCGATTTTAAACAAGCAATCCATTTAAGTTTACTAAATTTCAAGTCTACTAAAGGCTATCTGTTTTACAAGAAGCCCATATAGAAAGCAAATCCTACATTAAAAAGTCAATCAACTTTTTTGAACTCATTAAATTAAATTTAAAATAAATAGATAAAACATGGGTGATTACATGTAGGGGTGGGCAAAAACAATTTAAAATAAAATAACTGACCAAACCAAGCCGAGTCAAGGTGATTTGAGTTGGTTTGGAAGGAAAAATAAATAAATAAATAAATAAATCAGTTTGGTTAAATTAATTTTAACCATTAAGGTCGGGTTGGTTTCGGTTTAAGCAACAACCCGTCAATTAATCGACCCAATCCACTAATATATATATTTTTATTTTCAAATTCATCTCTTTAAACTTAGAAAAACAAAATAATAAAAACACAAACATGATTTTTTTTTTCCAAATAATTTGTTTATCGTCTATACTTTTTCTACAAAAACTTCAAATATCAAAAGATTAGAAAGCAATAAGAAGAAGTGTTTGATGTAAACTTCAAATTTAAATTGTAACCTTACTTTCATTTTTAGGGATGGCAACATGGTGGGTTCGGGACGGGACACCCTCACTCCGCCCCATCTCGCCCTGCCTTAGATAGGGCAGGGACAACTTTTTGCCTCGTTTGTTGTCTCATTTTATTTTTTATATATTTTTTATTTTTTCTACATTTTTAAAATTTCGAGTTATGTCATTATTAAAGAATAAAATACAAATTTAAAATGGATTTTTGACGGGTGAATTGTTTAAAAATAAAATTATTTTTACTTTTTTCCCTTCACGGGACAGGTTCGGAGTGGGGCATCCTCGCTCCATCTCACCACATGCCCCAACTCGCCCTGCCTCGCCAACCATTTCGGGGCCGGTTTTTTTTTTTTTTTTTTCCATCACTATTTATTTTTGTGTAATTGTTTGTTGGCAACTATATGATATATAGGAAGGTTTTCGAAAAATTGACCATTTACCATTTACATTATATATAGTATTAATATGCACTACGCAAGCAAAATATATATATATATAGGAGAGAACTTTTTAATCCAAAATTAGTAGACAATTTTTTATTTTTAACTCGCACCAATGTTTACACCAATTAACCAAATCAAATGGACCAAAACCGATTTGGTTTGATTTGGTTCGATTTCAAAGATTGAATTGGATCAATTTCGAAGGAAGAAAGAGAAGAAAATCCCTTAAGTTCAAGTTCGAGAATAAAATAAAGTCTTTTTCAAATCAAGTTCAAGTTCCAATTCCAAAATTCAAGTCAAAGTCTTGGAGATTCAAAGCCGAGTCAAGTTGAGCCCAAGTCCAAGAATTCAAGCAAATAAAATTTTAACGAGCTTTGAAATTCAGGATTCAAAACATGTGGTTTCTTATCTTCAACACTTTTATTGTTAATCAAAGGATTTTGCTATCTCACAATCACAAGAGCATCAATTCACTTCGTAATTTCTCAAAAATCAATTTCTAATCATTTATGTATTCTTCTTATACACGAGAAATGTTGTACAATACTCCCACCAAGAAGTTCTTTTTTCATATTTTTTGTACCCTTTAATTTCGAAAATAGGTACTCATACCTTACTTTTACTCAAATTGTCATTCACAAAGTCAAAAGAAGAATGTGTTTACCAAAAGAAAAAATAGTTCAAGTCTTTGAGATTTTCAAATAATAAGAAATCTCAAGTGTATCTTACATGGATTCAAATGATGAGAGTGAAGTAATCTCAATCTTGCTGGCAATCGTAATATGAGAGTTCGATTCCTGAGATATGGAATTGGACTCTTTGTGGGCAACTATATATCCATCACTATTTATTTTTGTGTAATTGTTTGTTGGTAACTATATGATATATAGGAAGGTTTTCGAAAAATTGACCATTTACCATTTACATTATATATAGTATTAATATGCACTACGCAAGCAAAATATATATATATATATATATATATATATAGGAGAGAACATTTTAATCCAAAATTAGTAGACAATTTTTTATTTTTAACTCGCACCAATGTTTACACCAATTAACCAAATCAAATGGACCAAAACCGATTTGGTTTGATTTGGTTCGATTTCAAAGATTGAATTGGATCAATTTCGAAGGAAGAAAGAGAAGAAAATCCCTTAAGTTCAAGTTCGAGAATAAAATAAAGTCTTTTTCAAATCAAGTTCAAGTTCCAATTCCAAAATTCAAGTCAAAGTCTTGGAGATTCAAAGCCGAGTCAAGTTGAGCCCAAGTCCAAGAATTCAAGCAAATAAAATTTTAACGAGCTTTGAAATTCAGGATTCAAAACATGTGGTTTCTTATCTTCAACACTTTTATTGTTAATCAAAGGATTTTGCTATCTCACAATCACAAGAGCATCAATTCACTTCGTAATTTCTCAAAAATCAATTTCTAATCATTTATGTATTCTTCTTATACACGAGAAATGTTGTACAATACTCCCACCAAGAAGTTCTTTTTTCATATTTTTTGTACCCTTTAATTTCGAAAATAGGTACTCATACCTTACTTTTACTCAAATTGTCATTCACAAAGTCAAAAGAAGAATGTGTTTACCAAAAGAAAAAATAGTTCAAGTCTTTGAGATTTTCAAATAATAAGAAATCTCAAGTGTATCTTACATGGATTCAAATGATGAGAGTGAAGTAATCTCAATCTTGCTGACAATCGTAATATGAGAATTCGATTCCTGAGATATGGAATTGGACTCTTTGTGGGCAACTATATACGGGCAAGTTTTTGTTCTCTGGTCTATTGGAATACATCTCACGATTTATCTCCTTCACGATGCTCCAGGGGCGGAGTAGTGAGGATCCTCAAGATTGAGGTTCAACCTTTTTACATGGATTCTACAAGATTTGGAAACTTGTCCAACTATCTTTCGAAAGTACAAATAGAATAATATATAGATGGCAGTTGATTATACATTCTAAGTTTGGCCAGCTTTTTTGTAAATTCTGGATAAATGGAATATTGAGACTCATGTTTCTTTATTTTGTCGAAAATGGTATGAGTACCTATAATTATGAACTTAAAATACCACATTAAAAATGGATGTAGCAAAAATCTCACAGGTTGAGTCTTCATCAAGCAGTTGAAGATTAAAGTAATGCTTTAAGCCCCGTGATACTTAAAAGTCTTGGAGATTCAAAGCCGAGTCAAGTTGAGCCCAAGTCCAAGAATTCAAGCAAATAAAATTTTAACGAGCTTTGAAATTCAGGATTCAAAACATGTGGTTTCTTATCTTCAACACTTTTATTGTTAATCAAAGGATTTTGCTATCTCACAATCACAAGAGCATCAATTCACTTCGTAATTTCTCAAAAATCAATTTCTAATCATTTATGTATTCTTCTTATACACGAGAAATGTTGTACAATACTCCCACCAAGAAGTTCTTTTTTCATATTTTTTGTACCCTTTAATTTCGAAAATAGGTACTCATACCTTACTTTTACTCAAATTGTCATTCACAAAGTCAAAAGAAGAATGTGTTTACCAAAAGAAAAAATAGTTCAAGTCTTTGAGATTTTCAAATAATAAGAAATCTCAAGTGTATCTTACATGGATTCAAATGATGAGAGTGAAGTAATCTCAATCTTGCTGACAATCGTAATATGAGAATTCGATTCCTGAGATATGGAATTGGACTCTTTGTGGGCAACTATATACGGGCAAGTTTTTGTTCTCTGGTCTATTGGAATACATCTCACGATTTATCTCCTTCACGATGCTCCAGGGGCGGAGTAGTGAGGATCCTCAAGATTGAGGTTCAACCTTTTTACATGGATTCTACAAGATTTGGAAACTTGTCCAACTATCTTTCGAAAGTACAAATAGAATAATATATAGATGGCAGTTGATTATACATTCTAAGTTTGGCCAGCTTTTTTGTAAATTCTGGATAAATGGAATATTGAGACTCATGTTTCTTTATTTTGTCGAAAATGGTATGAGTACCTACAATTATGAACTTAAAATACCACATTAAAAATGGATGTAGCAAAAATCTCACAGGTTGAGTCTTCATCAAGCAGTTGAAGATTAAAGTAATGCTTTAAGCCCCGTGATACTTACCACTATTCTAGGAGCCAGTAAGGGTCCACCCAGACTTGTCCTATAAACTTAAAATGCATATTTAAATAATTGGAGAATTTAAGATAAATCCTCGCTGCCACCTAAACCGATGCTAGACAGTATTATCTTTAGAAAATATCAGCTAGATCAATTACGAAAAAAGTCACATATGCTTGCACATCAAGTAGTTCATTGAGGACAAAATACAAATAAACAGATGCAGTGTTTAGATTGGCAATAGTTTCCTTATAATAAATTCTCAGAATGAACTTGACGAGTTTAGCTTGTTTCACTGCAGAACCATCTGCAACGACAACACTGCTATGCTACAAAAGGTATAAAAATACTAATGTAATCACTTACTAGTAAAAGTTTTACTCTAGCCACTAACTAAATACAGACTAAACTTTGATTTCCAACAGCGAACATGTGAAATCAACTCCTACCGCATTCGTAGTCATCTAAGCTAAACTTGGCTGCAATGAATTTTTCGCTAACAGAATCTGGTCTTACTTTTATCTTTTTGATTCTTCTTCAAATCCACCATACGTACCCTCTGGGCTGCATTCACTTCTCTTGTTAGTTATTGGTTTATTCACTATGCAAACGCTTGTGGATTCCTCAATGCTTCTCGATGAAGAATTTGATGGTTCCTGCACAGTATCACCAAATGTAGACAATGTGAGACCTACATTTTGTTGAGCAATAAAAATATAAGTTCATCAATCATTCTGAGTGCCTGTGCATGTGTTGACCTAGTAGATTCTTACTGCAGGTTGGTACGAGGTTTTTTTTTTTCTTTTTTCTATGTTGCCAAATAAAAAGACTGCTGCACAACAATAGCTTACATCTGTTGTAACGCAAATTATAGAATTCTCTGTATCGCTTCTCTCTTTTGGAACACCTAATAGGATAGTTTCATCACGGCTTTCTCCATTACTAGTACTAATTTCTAATTTTACTGCATTGCCTAGCGTTGAACCGTATGTATTTGCATGGCGTATAGCTTCTTCATCCTCTTCAGACTTTTTATGGGTCCCCGAGTTACCATTCTCTTCCACTAATATTGACGAGGCAATAGGAGTTCTGTCATCAGCAAATTTTTGAAGCTCAATTTTGGCCACTTCATAACTTTCTGAAGTTGTAGCTTTGCCACATTCTTCACAGTCCATTGGATAATTCAACTGGTTCTCATGTCCAGTATCTTCACATAGTACCACGTTTTGCATTTGATCCTCGTAATTAGTTGGTTCATCAATATCAATATGTGTGTCAACTTCTCCGGTAGGCTTCTCTTGATGATGGGAAGATTCCTGCTAAAAAAACTACGGTCAAAAAATAAAATGAAGAAATTATCTGAAAAGACCATATGACTCGGAAGAATATTCAATATTAAACACCGATTACAAGAAAATATCCCAACCTCAAACAGATAATTCAGCAGAGCAAAAAGAATTAAAGCATAATTGACCACAACCCTGTGAATCAAACCTAACGAAAAATCCCCTTTATCAAAGACCAATTGACGGTACATAACTCCATTGCATTGGACATGACTATGACCTTGCTTTGTTCAAGGGATTATTTTTAGAGCCAGGTTCCTATTGGTTCCATTATATTGGGACTAATGGAATATGCTGTTCGCAGGAAAAAACAGAAGCATATTTATGTGGATTTTACTTTTTATTACATTAGACATTCCTGGTCATATCAAGATAGCTCCTAAATTTGGTTATATGCAAGATTTTAGCATTATGTGGATTTTTCCCGTCCCATCTCTAGCTTTAGATTCCGATTTCATTAAATAAGAAAAATTATTCTTTATTTTCGAAGTAATTATCTGAATAAACATCTGATACAAATAAATACTACTCCCAATGTTGAGACATAAGGATGAATCGTGTGTTATAAAAAATATTCAGGAAAAGCATATAAATGGTAATTTAGGTAAATCGGGACCTGAAAACATAGTTTATGTACATAATACTTGTGTATATTTTTCTTGGCTGGTTAGACATTGATGTAATGTACAGTATTCATGAAAAATGGGCATGTCAATTCTAATATAGAAACAAAAGATAGTCACAACAAAGTAATGACATCAAATATTTCTATATATTCCAAAAAAAATAAGAATCAATCTTCCAAAGTCTTGACATGGGTATTCACATGGTTTTATGTTTTCCTTAAGAGTTTTGGCAAACCTGTTCGATATCTGCACCATTACGTGGGTAGTTTGAATCCTCCGACGGCATTGAACTTTGGGACAAAATTTCACCGGAAACTTCAGTTCTAATTTCATTCAGCATGTTGTTTTCTACTACCATGTTAAACTGCCCAATCTCCATTTGTATATTTTGCTGAAATTCTGATAGGTTATCCATGGAAAAGTTTTGTTGTAGTACAGATTGGGGGGATGTGCATAAACTTGGGTCAGCAGGAATTTGTTCATTCATTGGTGATACAGGTGCTTGGGGATCATCAGACACCAGAGAAGTCCCAGAAGTTCCAACTTCGGAAGAATGTAGCTGATCTTCAGTATGTTGAAGTAATTCGAGATTGTTATGATCCTCAAACGGTGTTGAAGCAGTCGCCACCTCTTCATGTTCAATATCTTTTTTCAATCTGTTGTCAGAATCTTCAGAAGTCATTCGGTTATCAGATATCGAAGCAGTGGATTCTAACATGCGACAACACTTATCCTGTTTCTCAGATTGACTTCCAATGTGTTCAGTTGAATCTGAATCAATTGTTAAAGACTGTTCTGACTGGTTTCCTATATCATACTGCAGAGAACCATTTACATCGCAAATTGCACTCAACTCACTCTTCAACTTCTCACAGGGATCAGAAGGTTCCTATTCATCAACACACCCCCAAAAGAAAAAGCACAAATGATTTTAGCATTTGGACCCTCAAAAAAATGCAGAATACACAAGTAACTCAATGTTTAAAAGAAAACCAAATGAGAAAAACCATCCTAAGATAAATTACAACTTCATTATCCATCGTCTTGCTATGATCTAGATGAGTTTGAAGCTTTAGTTTGTAACGCATACATATGAAGGTTTGGAGCTTTAGTTTGTGACAATTACACATGAAGGTTTTCTGACAGATTTGAATAGTCTCTCTCAAAAGAAATGATTTGTATTAAATCATCCATCTCAAAAGCAGATGGCAGTCGGTTGAAAGGCTGCCCAAGGGCTCCTATTAGCTTGTTAGGTTGTAATTTTACAATGTGGGACAAACATGGAAGGCTGAATGAAGCGTGGCACTAGTATGACACATTGATAACAAGCACAAGGTGCAACTTTGGCATAGTTTTAAGAATAAGGTGCAACAGTAAACATATATGGAGGAAATCTGAAATTGATGGATTGACATAAATGAGATCCATCTAATCACTCCAATACTTAATTTTCATGCCATGTCGTATCAATATTAAAGCCACGAGGGGAGAAGCCTCCCAGGACAATTTATTTTGGTTAAGAGTTATCAATTGGCTAATCTAGTGCCCTTATTCTTAACATACTGGAACTAAAAAGCATCATGTCTGAACCAGCTAAACTCTAGATCTAGGATTGAGTATGAAAACATTTACTGTCCAAAATTTTGACTCTACTTGTATTCACGAATAATTTCCATGTGATGGGTGATTCACTATGTCTCATGTTGACTTTATGCTCTCTCATGTACCAGAAACTAAAAAATTTCATGTGATAGTACCTGTGCAGAAACTGAATAGCTCTGCAATTCTCCATGAATCTTTGCATTGAAGTCGGTTGTACAGCCCTGATAGCTGTTAGAAAAGTCAGTCTTAGAAGGCGAAAATGAATTTGCACCAATAGAATTTTGTTCAGTGACTTTCTTTGCCAGTGTGTTTGACAGTGTCTTATCCTCAAACTTGTTAATTCTTGAAAATCCAACTTCCATGATATCTTTATCACTGATCTCATGCACTTCTGATTCATTTTCATCTATTCCAGATAGGTGAGATGACGCTGCCAACAAGTCTTCACTACTCGAGGTAATCTCCTTATCCAAGTCCATATCGTATATTGAAATTTCTTCATCCTGATATGATAAGTCTTCATCATGCGTTTGAGGACAACTTACTTCTGAAAACTCCACTTGCAAGTCAGATGGAATGGAAAGGGCACGAGTGTGATGGTGCAGTGTCTTGTTAGCATAATAGAGGCGCTTCTGTAACCTGGTCTTCGCCAAATGGGGATCGTCATAATTTGAATGGTCACCTGTTTGGCCATTATTCTCCTTATCTTCAGCAATGATCCCAATAGCCGGAGAAGCAATAGATTTCAATACTGCATCTTTGTCCATCTTGTAGAATAGTTCATCCTCTTCTGAGGAAGAAGATGAGCTTGGCCTACCATTGATATCTTCAATCGGAATTGGTTTTGTCTGCACTTCAACGTTATCTATTTCATTATGTGGTTCAAGTCCTTGCTCACACACTTGGATGAATTCTTTGATCTGATCATCAGCACTGTCAACTTTTGTCTTAGATTTAGGTTCTTGAAATGGTTCTGGCTCTACTATCCCATTGAATTTGCTCTCTGTAATCAAAAGGTTTTATAGTGATTCAGTTTCGTGAAACTAAATTACCTATATTTAGTTATCTTGCATTTTTCCTCTGTTGTTGCTTTTGTCCATTTTTAACATTATTTTTATTCTTTAGTTATTTTAAAGGGAACAATGAATTATCATTCATATTTTTCACTACAGTCACAAACTACAATATATATCATACAGCGGAACAGCAGTAACATGGAAAGGTCCAAAATAATAAAGATTTTGTTTACCTAATTTGCATCCTGGTTTGGAGCATGCAATTCCTTTCAAAGCTCTCTGTCTCAATCCAAAGTCACAATACGCTGAGGTTTCTGCACAATCCTGCACGAATTCTTTGGGTAAGGGAGCCCCTAAACTGAAACTCTCGTGCCTGCAGAACAGTACGTCCTTGATCTGAACTGCCATAAACTCTTGATTGAAACTGTCCCGCGTGAGATCAGGTTTTTCCTCAAATGGATCATAAGGAAGATCGAAAGGATTGCGCATAGGTATTAAAACAGAAGGAGCCGAGCCTGGACCAGGTGAAAACTGACCAATGTTATTTCGAAGAAGATTGTTTTTAGGTATAGTAATATGAGCGATTTGGCCCGCGGGATCGTTGCTACTCATGTTCCTCAGTGTCCTTCTAACCTGAAGACTGAACAATTTCCTGGCTTTCCGTCTGGCAATTAGGCTCTCCAATCTTTTATTCCTTTCAATCTCTGAAATCCCAAGATCCATGAGATTCTTTTGATCATCCACAATCCATTCCACAGCTTTATTACCAGCTTCTCTTGCCTCCTCTTCATCTTCAGAGTCCTCTAAATTTCCTATTTCAATTCTACCAAAATTAAATTTTTTAGACCTTCCATAGGAGCCATTACCAAATTTTGATTTTGGACTCTTAGATGTACACAAGTAGGAACATTGGGAGGGATTAGATGAAGAATCGACCTCCACCTCCCGAATTTCTTTTGGGTATTCTTCTACCAAGGCATGTTTGTCAACCAAATCATAATTGACATTCATTGAGAAAATAGTACTTTTCTCATCCACATTGTTTTGTGAATTATCATCTTCTCTTCTAATGTCTTTCGCCCTTCTTCGTCTAACAGAGCAAACATGAACCAAAGACTTCCCATTTCTACCAACAATTGTTCCACAAGGTTCTCCATTATTATTCTTCTCATCCCTTTTATAAAGACTAGGAAAGATTCTAAAAATAACAGCAGTAGAAACAATAAAGGGAAACAAATAAATCAAAAACCAGAACACTGATGGAAAAATTATGTACATGAGAAATAAAAATAATAAAGTTAATGATACAAATGGATATTTTATAGCAAAACTAACGAAAGTTTTGGAAGAAAAATTCAGTATTTTCTTTAAAAAAACTTGAACATCATTTGCATTAACATCCATTTTCTTTATTTACAAAATGACTTACTTTTCAAAGAATCATTTCAATTTTATAAAAATATTATCTTATAATCAAACTATTATTTTGCACTGTACTTAATTACAATCTTATTTCATACATTTGAAAAGAGAAAGCTCAACCAAATCCTAAAAGTATTAAATAAAAGAGAAAAGAAAAACAGATAATCAAAGAACGGAAAAGGAGATTACGAAAAAAACCCTCATTCGAAAATCTACCAAATTACTTTCTTGGGTGCGAGTTTGTGTAAATTATGTGCCACAATTCCTGGTTTGAAGCCTATACATGGTGAAAAATATTAAACAATATTCGCAATTTTTACCTGAAAATGTCAATGAGCTCGTCTAAATATAGAAAATTTCTGTTTGGCTGACAGCTTCATTTGATCCTGTATTTAAGGACATGTCTATTACTGTTTTCCTATTTCGCCGGTATCAATCGCGCTATGTGTACCCTTTAATTTACCTGGCGGTTGACATGATGACATGGCAAGTTTATGGGGGGGAAAAAGATAGGTCAAAACTTTGAACTGGCCCAATTAGAAAGAAACCTTATTATTTTCACTTACCATGTTCGATTGTACCAAGTTTTCCATGAAAAATGAAAAATCAATTCCATTTTTCATCTCTTAGGGTGTTTGATAGACTTTTTTTCAAGGAATTTGCTTTTTTGTTTTTTTCGAGAACTAACAATTTTCCATGTTTTTATAGAATTCGAATTTACACCACATTGGTGAGAATTCGAATTCTAGCCACTGTAACTATATTTTTTTTTCGAATTTTTTTTTTGGTAATGGAAACAAATTTTAAGAAATATTTCCCTTTAATTGACAATTTTCATGTAAAACAAAGTCAAACGAACACCAAAAGATAGATTATTTTCTTAAATTTCTTGAAATTTTTTATTTGGCAATGAAAACAAATTTCATTCCCAATACTTGTAAAATATATCCCTTTAATTGACAATTTTAATGTAAAACAAAGCTAAATGAAACCCAAAAGACACTTTTATTTCAACATTTTTCACATGAAAAATTATACCAATCAAACACAATTAATTTACAATTCCCAGGAAAATAATTTCTAAACAATTTAATTCCCTTAAATTCATTTTCAATTTAATTCAATTCCATCTTTACAATCAAACGAACCCTTACCCCCACACCAGAGAAAAATTGTCGGAAGCGAATTTTTTTTTTCAAAGTCCACTGACGCTGCACTCCTCCATCTCGACCGAAATAAGAAGCCAATGGTTAATTTAGCAATCGTCTCCGTGTTTGGGTTTCCCACCTTATGTAAATCGTACGATTGGTAATAATTTTTTTTTAGCCACGAGACAAAAGCTCCACCACGTATAGCAAGATTGTCCATCTCCAATGCCATCTCGCTGCAAACATTATGTAAGTATGATGTATTTGGTATAAGGAATCCTAGTTTTTTACCATTGTCAAATAATTACACTTCAAACTAAAGTAATAGACATTACTCTTTCAATTTTGACGGTGCTCATTAATAGTTCAAATTTCTTTATGAAAATCGTACTTCATTGCAGTTGGTACCATTTGCGAGCATGATTTAAAATTTGCCTGAAGCTCCTTCTCTATCTTATTTCTCAATGCCTGCCTAGATGCTGCTTTTTAAATAACAAGGTACCAAACGGTCTATGTTTGTTTACATTCTCAACAATCAATCATTATCAAACAAGTTATATCTGTCTACCATCGTTCTACAGCCTTCTTCAAATTCATCAATATTTCGAGAATCATACACCAGTACGAGACATATAATCTAAGCAAGTTCTACTTCTATTGTGCTATTAAATTGAAGTTAAGTGATCCAAATGCAGTCAATTAAAGTTCAGTAATCTGACTACAGAAGGTGTGAAAGATGCTTTTAGACATTTCAAACTAATGTTAAGAAAAGTCTCAAGAAATTAATCCCAAATAAAAGGATAAGCCTGCGCCCTGCCTCATTTTCTATTTTCTATTCACATCATAGGAAGAAGTATATAGCCCCAAAACATTGTGCCTTGATTAGGTTGTTCCATTCTATCTTGTGGCTAAGAACCCAACACTCCTTTTCGGGGGCAGAGCCACGCAGGTCTTCTAAATGCTATTGGGGGAAAATAAATTATAAACGACTTACCAAATACGAACGATTCCGAAAATAGACCACCACTGGAGGATGTCGCGGTTGTCGTCGCCCCTTGCCGGTCGGATTTTGGACAGAAGAAGTTGAGTACTTCCAATTCAAGTTTGTAGTGCTGACCTTGGATTGTGGAGGAAGATGAATAATTGAGTGTTGAAGATGGATTTTCAAATTTAGGGATAACCTTTTTATTGGGCCCCCAATATGCTGGGCCTGAGGCAGAGGCCTCTTGTGCCTCTCCTCAGGTCCTGCTCTGATGGGGTAACTCTTTAGAGCGGGACGGGTTAATTTGCCATCTCTAAAATCGCTAGCAATATACCTCAATTTTTTAATAACTTGAAATAATTTTTCATCTCATATCATGAGAAGGTTTTATTGCCCATCCCGTCATCCAGTTTTTAAAAATTGGCCCAATAATTCAATTTGTTAGTTTTTTTTAACCCCATTTCCACGCCAGCATGCATGGAATCGACATCAATCGATGAACAAATTTCAGAACATCTGTACTATTTAGTGTTATGAAATACTTTGCTTTTAGTATGGAGGTCCATAAACTTTGACTTATGTTACACTTCAGTTTTCAACTTTCAGAAAGAAAATTTACATCCTCAACATTTTACTTATGTTGCTCCCGTGGTTAATAGAATGGATTTCATCCAAAATTTCGTTAAAGTCACGTGTAAGTAGCACATGACCAATTTGTTTTGGGTGAATATTTTTTGTGCTTAAAAATTTAAAAAAAAAAAAAAAAAAAAAGAGGGGGAAGAAAACAAATTGCCTGCCAATCACTTAATAAATATGCACGAAGACTTTCCTCACACTAGGTAATTGAATATGATCATTGATTTCCCAAATAGTAAAAGTTTAAGAAAAATTCAAAATTTTACATATAATTCTCAAATTTTAGCTTAAGCATATACAAGAATGATTTACTGAGTACTGACATGTCATATACATCTATTGATGAATTTTAAAATTAAATTGAACGTTGAAATCTTCCATAAGTTTATATAGGCTATGTAGTACACTCATCTTCATTATTCAGAATGTGCAGATAATTATGATCACATCGTCGTATTTTATGTGTTGGACTACATTTCAGTTTTACGTAAGGTCTCCAATCTTTGCTCAATGAGGCACTCGTCCTCAAAAACTTTTAGCTGTATTTTATACTCAAGTTTGCATTAATTAACGTATTTTGTCTTTGAGAGTGATTTCCGTTCATAAAGTCCACTGCTAGAGAGTACATGACAACTTATTTGCCCATCTCATTTTAAAAAAATAAACACGAAAGTACCATAAAATATTTTTTCCCTTGTATAAAAGAACGTAAACAGAATATTTTGATGGAAACATGTCAAATACCAATGTTTTTAATTAATAGAAAACCGAGGATAAAAATTCGACGAAGAAATAGAGACATTATTATTGTAATGAACAAATATTGATGACCTTGAGTGCAACTAAGATGTAGTGCACTAAATAATAATTATGATGCTAATATAAATACCCTAACTACAAAAGACATTTTTGATAAAAAAAAATATTATTCTACCCTTATACATAAATGAACAAAAAATATAAAAGAAAAGAGAGACTTTTTTTTTTCTTTTCTTTTCTCTCTCTCATTTTATTTTTATGGTTACTTAAGAATTTAAACGCACAACATTTATAAGTAAACACGTCATAATCAACTACGTCTGAGCTATAGGTAGTAAAATTTTCCCATATGTAGGCAATATATTTCAAAACCATGGACGTCCAAAGGTAGCAACCCCAAATTACAAGTAGCTAAAAGTGTTGATTTCCGGATTTGTAAGCGGTTCAAAGTAACAATGTCTCGTCATAATTGGTAATATTCATCGACATCAGTGATAATTTATCTAATTGTCGACGACACAATCTAGAAAAAATCTCCAATTATAAGTCGGCAAAATTGTCTCGTTCATCATGGATAATAACATCTACATTCATAGGCAAAAAACTTGTAACCATAAAAAAGAAAAAAAGGCAGCAACCTTCAAACCATTAGCAACCAAATGTATGGACAACGCAAGTTGTAGACAACCAAATGCATTTTTTTTTTTTTTTACCACTAATAGTGACGTACACAAAAGTTCATGATTGTAAAGGTTACTTTTCACAGTTTTAATCAATGCAATCTAACAATCTCTTTGATCGGGAGGATCACTCAACTTCGATTCTCCCAAAACAGACAAGAATATCAATGTTCAAACAATTTTTATAACTTCACACAAATACTTGAAGTAATATATAAAAAGGGATGAAGAGTTTAAACTAAAAAACGTAATCATTTCAATAATTAATTTATAAACCAAAAAAGTTTGATAATTGAACCAAATAGACAAAATAATGAATCACCTCTCCACAATTCATGTGGTCTACGACCATGCGACGTACGTAAAAAAAATCTAAGATAAATATACACGAATTCTTTGGACAATAACAGAGAAAATAAAATATAGGCTAAAAAAGCTAAAAAAACGCAGTGTATGCGGATAATTAACGGTCAAAACACATCGCCCCCGGCAAATCCAACGGCTCAAATCTTCCTTCTCCATTTCCCCCACTTCAATCTCTGCTTCTCTGAATGAATCCATCTACTCAAAATCTATGCATCCGTGTATATGAATCTGTGTGTTGAATTTGATTTTTTTTTTTCTGAAGGTTTTTCTTCATAAATTATGGCCGCAATCGAACCCTTGCCTCCAATATTTCAAAGACAGTTTTCCATGTATACTTACCATAATCCCAATTATTTATACAGATACAGCTTCTTCTGCAATCGGTATAGAGCTTTACATGCAAATTCCTGTCGTTTAGTTCACAATTCAGCGTCTTTTAGGTTACAACCTAGGGTTTCCAAGTTTCATCTTTGGGGAGGATTTTTGTCGAAGAGTCATAAGCGAAACTTTGATTACACGAAAATTTATACTAATAGTTCTTGTGAACATGATACTGATTCAACGGACAAGGCTGAATCCCAAGGGCAAGAAAACAAGGAATCTTCGGGTTCGAGACCGGGTTCCAGCAGGAAGAAGGAGGAGGAGAGGAAGAATAACTGGCGGTGGTTAAAGGGGAATAAACAGTGGCGATGGCAGCCTATAATTCAAGCGCAAGAGATTGGTGTTTTGCTTATACAGTTAGCGATAGTGATGTTTGTGATGAGGTTGTTTCGGCCTGGGATTCCATTGCCTGGTTCCGAGCCTCGGACTTCTACAACTTTTGTGAGCGTTCCATACAGTGAGTTTCTGAATAAGATAAATAGCAACCAGGTACAGAAAGTGGAGGTTGATGGGGTCCACGTAATGTATAAGTTGAAAAAGGATTCCATGAATACTGGAAATATGGAGAGTGTTGATGAACTGAGTAGCAAGTTTCGGGATTCAGATTCTTTGTTAAGAAGTGTGAACCCGACGAAGAGGATCGTGTACACAACAACAAGGCCAAGCGATATCAAAACGCCTTATGAGAAGATGGTTGAGAATGATGTAGAGTTTGGTTCGCCTGATAAGAGGTCTGGAGGGTTCTTGAATTCTGCATTGGTGAGTTATTATTAATGTTTTAATTTTCTGGTTATTTGCTTGTTAACTGATTTATGTTTATGGAGTTAAATTTATTTTTTAAATTATTTATTTATTATTTTTACTATTATTTTTATGCATATCTATAAAGATCTTAATCTTTATTTATCTATGAATTAGGGCATGGCTGCCCTATGCATTACGACTTGAAGTATAAAGTTTGGTTCTTTTGCTTGCTCTTACGTTTTTCACTGCTATGAAGTAAACAGTTTGTTGAATTTACATTTATTATAGATGTATCAAAAAAATTGTGATGGGTCATATGTGAAATTGTGATAAATATTGTAAATTATTTTATGTTTGGAATATTACTTTCATTAATGAATTTTGCGACTTGTTAGCATCACGTAGCTGTTAAGAATTTCCCTGATTCACTTAGTTGGAAAAGAATCCCTGTATTAGTTGGTTTCCTCCCTAGTTTTCGAATAATAAATTGGGAAATGATGGTTGAACACGATTAAAAATAGGGAAATTGTGGACAGACCGAGTTGGCAGCATTTGGTTGGTTTTATTTTTTTAAAAATTTTTCAAACTGTCCATTCAAGCTTTGATCCCCTCCACCCCAACTTTTAACCCTGTTTTTGTAGCATATCTCTAATAAATTAAATCTTACCGTGAAAGTACTTTTACTAATGCAATATCATTCTTGGACTTTTGTTTGGTTTTGCCTTGTGCCCCAGACCAGTAATCATAATTCTACCCTTGTGATGCAACTAAGACTTTGCTCTCTAATCTATCACATTAACCCATACAAAATTCTATATTTTCTAGTTACCCAATCTAACTGTGTTTTGATTGAGCATTTTACGTCAGTAGTATACTATCATATTTTTTCCATATTCCCAACCATCTTGCCTGTTTCTTTCTTGGTTACTTGTCAACAAGTGCTTCTTTACTACTTAAAGGAGATAATCATTTCTTACTCAGTCTTCACTCCTTATTTCTTTTTCTTTTTTTTTTTCTTTTTTTTTTTTTTAACGTTAACATCCTCATTAGTAGTCGCTCACTCATTTTTTACCTTAACATCCTCATTTCAGCCATACTATTTTCATTATAGGTGGTATATTTGTTGCCCACCACTTCCTAGCACAAATGTTCTTGCTTCTCATATATTTGTGCTTGTTGGTCACACTGTACCCTCTACTAGCCTGGTCATTTTGAATCCCATGAATATCTTCATTTTATACTTTCTGATGATGAATGTCTTATCTTACATACAGCAAATGTGGCCTTTAGATTTTTGAATTCCAATATCAAACCATATCTATCATGTACTTCAAGTCAACTACAGTTACTGTCTATACATTCATCATTCAACCATGACCAACTAATCTTTGTCTGTTTTCAGTGTGTTCAAACTATCTTGCTTATTTTTTTTATTTTTTATTTTTTCGTTTTATAGGCAACTAGTGCTTCTTTACCATTTAAAAAGATGACATTTGTTACTCAGTCCTTGCACATTTATATTCACGTGAATGGCGAGCAGTAATGTTTTGGCTATACATGTTGTATCTTAGCTTCTCATGATTCGACACTATCAACGGACCTATTCATGCTGTTGATTTCAATTTTAACTTTAACTGTGAGCTGCACTGTGCTCTCTCCTTGGAGCTTGTTTGGTCAACTGCTGAACAATTCGTAAGCTGTTGCATTGTGTGGGTAAAATTTTTTGGTTAGAGATTATAAGCCCTAAAGATAAGCTCTTCAGGAAATAAATAAAAAGACATGGACATATTTTTAACATCTTATTGACATCTCTTGTTTGACCAATTAAATAACAATGTTATTTATACTTTGCTTTCAAATGCCACATATTAGTCATATCGAACCCCTTGCCATCCACACTGCTCCCTCCATCATTGGTGGACCCTCATCCGCACTTGTGGCACCCCCGTTCTCTCCTCTAGCTTACCCTTTCCTTCTCATCACTCTTCCAAAATAAAATCTGCATACAGCATGTCAGAAAAAGAGTCATGAGTGTGATAAGAAGAGCGTCAACCACATAAGAATCCAAATACGACAGCCCAAACAGCCAAGCCAACCATTAAAATGCTTCAAGGGCTCTATTAGCACATGCACAACTCATGGAATCACAGAGTTGTGCATGATATTATGTGACACCGTTAGTCAACACTACCTCAAGACATCACCAACTGCCCATTTAAAACCACCACAGTAGGTCGCTGTCACCAAATTTATTTATTTATTTTTGTTGATCTACATATTTTTGTAGATCACCATTGGCACCAATAGATTCAGTCTATGACTATATTGAAGTCCCGAGATGACTAATAAATTTGTATATGTTTTTAGTAGCAGCACGACTATTATCAACTCTATGAGTAATAAAGTGGTAAGATTCGAGAAAATTAAGGATAACCATCCTAATTTTCCAAATTTTGGTGTCATTCTTAAAGGCCTCTTATTTAGTCGAAATAGAAAGCATGTGAACTTTTTTATTAGAGATGGTTATTTTTTCAAGGAACTTAATGCGCACTCCTTGTAATTTGTTGAATAGTATGAAAGCAGCATGTTGGAAACTTAGTCGAACATTTTGTCAGGGTTAAATCAATAGGCCTTGATAACCACAGACACTCATGAGTGTGGATGTTCTTTAAAACTTGATAGTTTTGTGGATAAAACTGACTCCATTCTCATTTCTTTGTTTTGCAGATAGCCTTATTCTATTTTGCTGTGCTTGTAGGTCTTCTTCATCGGTTTCCTGTAAGCTTTTCTCAGGTATGAACCACTACACTGTATATGTTTGCTTCTGAAAAAGCAGATGTTTTGGTAAATATAATCAGCATGCAATATTCAGAATTCACCAGGGCAGCTCAGAAATCGCAAGACTGGGGGTTTGGGTGGAGACAAAGTGTCTGAACAAGGGGAAACTGTTACCTTTGCTGATGTTGCTGGTGTTGATGAGGCCAAGGAGGAGCTAGAAGAAATTGTGGTATGTTAGATGCTCCTCAATATTTTGGTATTACTTGCACAACGGGATTGTAGTTCTTTACAGTTTACATTTGGAGAGACATTTCTCATTCAAGAATTTCTTTACTGGCAGGAATTTCTTAAGAATCCAGATAGGTATATAAGACTTGGTGCACGCCCTCCTCGAGGTGTTCTTCTGGTAAGTCCTCAACCAAGTAGGGGTGGGAGATATAGTGTTCGGAATCACATATAAGTACACTGTTATTGCATGCTATTCACACTTAATGTTGCCTGGAGATTGTCAGCTAAAAAAAGGATCTTTTACATTAATGCACAATATACTTTTGAAATACTCAAAAGATACGATCAACATGGTTACCCTGATTTCATCAGATCTATGATAAAATATACATACAATTAACCCTAATATTGTGCTGAAGTCCTGTTTATTCTATCTACATTGACTTGTATATCATCTTTTCTTATTGCATGCTATTCACACTTAATGTTGCCTGGAGATTGTCAGCTAAAAAAAGGATCTTTTACATTAATGCACAATATACTTTCGAAATACTCAAAAGATACGATCAACATGGTTACCCTGATTTCATCAGATCTATGATAAAATATACATACAATTAACCCTAATATTGTGCTGAAGTCCTGTTTATTCTATCTACATTGACTTGTATATCATCTTTTTTGTTTTTCTTTGTTTCCAGACTATTATTGAAATATCATTGTACTTATAGCATCATCTTGCAGGTGGGTCTCCCTGGGACAGGTAAGACGCTACTAGCAAAGGCTGTTGCTGGGGAAGCTGAAGTTCCCTTCATCAGCTGTTCAGCAAGTGAGTTCGTTGAGTTGTATGTTGGCATGGGTGCATCTCGTGTCAGAGACCTTTTTTCTCGAGCAAAGAAGGAGGCCCCATCAATAATATTCATAGATGAGGTTCTTCTTCATCCACCCCCCTCCTTTCTACTGGGTATTCTTGTCCAATTTCTGAGGCATCTGGTGAATAATCTTTCACAATGTTCTGAATTAGCATTCCTGAATTTGTAGATAGATGCTGTAGCTAAGAGCCGTGATGGTAAATTTCGCATTGTCAGCAATGATGAGCGGGAACAAACCTTAAATCAGTTGCTCACTGTAAGGTTTTTGGAAATTAATATTTTTTTTCTTCTTTATGACATAGTTGGCTTACCCAGGAAAGATAAATGTACTAGAAAATATTCTGCAGGAGATGGATGGATTTGACAGCAATTCGGCTGTAATTGTCCTCGGAGCTACGAATAGGGAAGATGTTTTAGACCCAGCCCTACGTAGACCTGGGAGATTTGACCGAGTGGTTTCGGTTGGTGTGCTAATTTGAAATTTTCCTTTATGAGCGGTGAAAGTTGAAGACAACTTTTTGTGCTTTAGTAGTTTTCTTGAAATAAGTTGCACAATTTGGTCTTTAGGTGGAAACACCTGATCGGACTGGAAGGGAAGCCATTTTGAAAGTACATGTTTCCAAGAACGAACTTCCTCTTGGGAAGGATGTTGATCTGGGTGATGTGGCCTCTATGACAACTGGTTTCACGGGGTAATTATTTTCCGTCTTCAACTTATGATGGATTGATGTTGACCTTATCTAACATTTTAAATCATTTTTCATTTTCTGATTTTGATATTATGCAGGGCAGATCTGGCCAATTTGGTGAATGAAGCTGCATTGTTAGCTGGAAGGCAAAGTAAACTTCTTGTGGAGAAAATTGACTTTATCCTTGCTGTAGAGCGATCGATAGCGGTATAAGATGCACACTTTTATTTTATTTATTTATTTTTGTTCTGAGATACGTCCTTGTGTCTGTACTGTATTGGTATTCAACCCTATTGGCGATTTTAGTTAGGAACGGAAAGACTCCTGATTATTAAATGTTATCTAAAATTATTCAGGCAAAACCATGTTTCGTATAATTTGACATACTGAACATGATAGTTAGTGTTATTATGGATATCATATAGTTTTCTCATTGAGCAGGGTATTTTTCAGGGATAATTATCATGCATTTGGTCAAAGCACTCTGTGAAGGAGATGAGATTCATGTATAGATGCATAAAAATTAGTATAACATTGTCATTGGGTTGATTTCTATATTCCAAAACATGCAACCCTTTTCCTGACTTTTGATAAATACTTGAGTTTAGAGCCACATGTTTTATTATCACATGTAGTATGAGTTCAACAATTTTTTGTTATTCATTGAGTTTTCTTTTAGGCTTTGAAGTATGGTAGATACGAGTCTTTTGCTAATGTCCTCTGGTTTTTGTTAGTTTATATGTTGTGCTTCTTTTCTTGCTTGGTGGAAAATGGATATTATAGAATTTGAAACCCTTTTTTCGCTGTTTCTATAAGGAATAGGGAAAAAGGATTCTTAGATAAAGGCTGAGGTAGAGGGGCATATAAACAATAGACATCAAAATTTACTTGGTGGACTGTGTGCTACATGCACGCAGTGACATATTCCTCACGTGACCTTGAGAATATAATTTTTTTCTTTTTAATTTCTTTTGTATATTACAGGGGATTGAAAAGAAGACGACCAAGTTGCCGAGTAGTGAGAAAGCTGTTGTTGCTCGACATGAAGCTGGTCATGCAGTAGTGGGAACTGCTGTTGCAAATCTTCTTTCTTATCAGCCACGCGTTGAGGTATTAGCACCAAAGTGCATTGATTCTTTGTTTTTGGTGGGCTATATTCAACTTATTGTTATGTCCTCTGGATTAGGCCCATGTGAAGGGTTTCTTTGTCACTCTTCACTAGCTTCAACTTATAGGCTTTTCTTAACAAAGGACTTCACTACTCTACTTTTCTTTTCATTATTCCCTTTATTAAGAAATTTCATTAACAGAGAGGTGGTCTTTCTTCATCTACTAGGTGTATAACCTATCCAAGAAATCTATCCACTCTGATATACAATAGGGGTGGTGCGTGCACTTCGAAAATTAAGTAGACAAGTACATTGCTATCACTATAGCTGTGTTTTCCTTAGTAGTCTTTGCAAGTTACAAATGAATTTCACTCATGAGTGGGACACTCTTAATCTCTACTGATTGTATATTTCACAAGATATATATTTTATGAAGAACAATGCTTAATAGTTTTTAAAAGAAAATATAAAAATAATGCTATACATTTCAATACTACGTGATATTTTAGTCCTTGTTTGAGCCTCATTATTTCCAAAAAAAAAATACATTCTTAAATAGTATTTAGACATCATTTCAACCACATATTCTTCAATAAAATAATATTACACGTAAATCCAAAACTTTTACTTATTTTTTAACCAAATATTTCCCATCAATACACTATTCAAAAATTCATTGTCTCCCCAAAAATGGGGCTCAAACAATGCCTTAGTATTCCCTTTTGGTATCTAGAATCTTGATGAATCAAAGATCATCACTATTACTAAAAAATTGTATTTGATTGCATATGCAAAATTTTCATAGTTCCTTTAAAATATAGTAGAAGTCTAAGTACGCATAACGATTTATTGTGGAGTATGAATCTGCATATATGGTGCAATACAATGATCACAATCATATTATTTTTCTTTCTTCCGAATTTTTTCTCTTTCAGAAGCTTAGCATATTGCCAAGGTCTAGAGGGGCACTGGGATTTACTTACACTCCCCCAAACAATGAAGATAGGTATTTGGTCTTCATTGATGAGTTGCGTGGGCGCATTGTTACTCTTCTTGGGGGCCGTGCAGCAGAAGAGGTTATTTATTGTGGGCGTGTATCAACAGGTGCATTTGATGATATACGGCGAGCAACAGACATGGCCTACAAGGCAGTGGCTGAATATGGCCTTAATGAAACAATAGGCCCTATTTCATTGACTACTCTTTCTGGTGGTGGATTTGATGAGTCTGGGGGATCTTCACCTTGGAGAAGGGATAATGTAATCCATTTTCTTATTTCTCTTCTTCAGTTAGGCCTATATTTTTATTTCACAATTCCAAATTATACCATGGCATCTGTACTGATTATAAGTTTAACTTGATAGGGGCGCCTTGTTGATCTCGTTCAGACGGAGGTTAAGGCCTTGCTGCAATCTGCTCTTGATGTGGCGGTCTCCGTTGTTTGTGCCAATCACACTGTTCTGGAGGGTCTTGGGGCACATTTGGAAGGTAATTCATAAACTACTATTTGATTAGTTTACTTGCATCTTAGTGATATTTATATGGGGAAAGAAAAAGAAAAAAATAAATAAATATCGGGGACCTAACAAAATATTATTATTTCCACAATATCCCGAAGAGATGGTCAAAGACTAAATGCCCAACCTCTTAACGACGTTTCTGATAATATTATGAAAGTAGACCAAAATACATCGATTGAAACATGCATCTAATTGAGATCTGGAACACTGATGATTTTGCTTTAACGGCATCAGTGCGAACTGCAAAGTGACCTTATTTTACATATCAATTCTTATTCCTGTCTCCCTAAAGATAAATGAAATAAATGCTACATAACCTTATATTATCTGCCCTCTCTATTTTGGCTAATTTGGGTTCATACATGGAATCGATGACACAGATTCACACGATCACGCATCTAAACCTTCTATGTGCCCTCCTTAAACCCATTAAAACTGGGACAATTTTTTGTTTTAGAACAGAGATTCAATAGGAACTATTGTTTAGTGCAATATTACGATCCTGTTTTGGGGGGCAAAACCGAACTCAGTCCAGTTCAGGGAATTCTAGGCATTTTGTAATTTCTCCTCCAACCAGGATAAAAGATCCATTATACAGATAACAATAATTCTGATAACTATAATTGCAATGACTTCCCCTTTATATTGGTTTTCAGTTTGTAGTGTCATATCAATTGTTGTAAAAGATTTGCGCTTATTTTCTAATCTTTATGTCTGAGGCAACATTTTCCCGCGAGGGAGTATCGGGGGTTCGATTGGAATCTATTTTACTTTTAGGTTTTTAAGTATGAAAAGAGATAATTTTCAAATGATTATGATATTTTGCAACCATATATTGTAGAAAAAGAGAAAGTAGAAGGTGAAGAACTGCAAGAATGGTTGAAATTGGTGGTTGCTCCATCAGAACTTACATTCTTCATTAGAGGAAAGCAAGGTTCTCTTCTCCCATTGCAAACAGGTTCCGGTTAACAATAATGCGTGCTGTACATGTTATCTTAACAAGATATTGGGTCGAACTATCCACTTTTGACACCCGTTTCACCAGTGGCATCACAAGAAAGCCAATTCATCTCTTTCTGAAGCACTTGATTCGACATGTATCATGTTGGTATACAGAATGGTAGGGTGTCTTGCTTTTCCAACCTTGTACATAGATTTTAAGAGAGAGGTAAAAATGTGTCTCAACGTCATAGGGTCGAAACGAAAAGTGTATTATCAAAGTATCTGAGGGAAATTACTGTTCTGCCATTTTCTATTTTGATATACAATATTTCCCATCATGTCATTTAACATGACAATATGCAATATTTCCACGTAAGGTAGTGTAGACGTGTTGTAAATAATTGTAGTTTATGAATCCTTTGTGGTTTCAAAGAAACCCCATTTTCAACTTGAATATAGTTGTACCAGGGGAGGATTTTTCTTATTGTACTCTATTGAATTTCATGTCATGTCATGCGCTATTTGTTCAAGTTGTCAAATAAATTTTGAACGTCGGAGAATCATCCAATATTCTTGAGAACACAGATAGATGTACATGCATGATGCAACTTGCCAATGAGTTGAAATGAGGGGAATGAACTATTTGAGTTCATCTATTGGTGCTCGTATGCAGGTCGGTCTTGTGATTGTCGGGGCTTCAGGCGAAGTCCAAAAATTAGGCTCCCAAAATCAACGTAAATGCAAAATTCAACGGTATATTATGCAACATATTGCTAATTTAAAATTTAACATTAAAATAACAAACAAATATATTAATCATCTCATAATTAATGAAAAAATTATTTTTCCTTTTTTTAAAATTTTAAAAAAATATATAATAATACTTTTGGGCCAAAATAGGTCCCCTATGGTTTTGGGCCTGAAGCAAATGCCTCATTTGCCTAGCCATAGGATTGACCCTGCTCGTATGTAGTATGATTACGTGCATCATTCCTTTTTAATTTATTTATAAATTAAAATGTTTATAAATTCTTCTCAAAACAGTGGGATGCTATCATGTTAAATGTGACAGGCAGATTTTATGGTATGGAGCCAAGAAGATTTGGCAATGGCACACTGATATTTTAGAGCTAAAATATCAAATGTGGCTTTCTCTAGTGACAACTCTGGTTTGTCCCAAGTGAAGAGGCCAGCCAGGACAATGATGTGTTCTTGTTTCTAGCTTGGCCAACTTGGTCGAGTTGAATTAATTCAATTTTGTATGTTTATAATTGTTTCTTCTTATTTTTTTCCCCTTTCATTTTTCTTTTATTTCATGTACACAAACATTTTAGAAGTCACATACATTTCTTTTATTATCTCTTTTTCAAAATTGTGACAATTGATAAATAAATAAAGACTTTTGACAAGAATTTTTTTTCTTCCATTAATGGTTATTGAATTATGTACTCCTTGTCATCTTAATCAATGAACTTTAGCCTCTGTTTTGCCTCCATTTTTTTAAAATTCATTTTCAGTTACACATTATTCCATAAAATGATTTTACATATAAATTTAAAAAAAAATCTTATTTTTTAATCACTTATTCTAAAAAAATCATTATTTCAAAACACATTTTCTTAATAATAATAGGGTTCAAAAATGGGCTTAACTCGCTAAAGGTGGTGAAAAACTTCTCCACCCTCGACTTGCCTCTCAATGTTCCGATCATAATGGGGGTAGGAAAACTCAGTTCAGAATGGTAAATAGGGCGGAGATGGGGATCGTGGTCTCAATCTGAATTTTTTGAATCAGCTCATAATTGTTTTATACTATTTTTCACTTTTCACATTTTTCAGTTTAAATTATATTTTAAAAAATTAATAATATTTATCAATAATATATTAACTAAATGGGACAGTAAATGAATATATATATAATCCCAATAGGTCGTATTGTCATTCCTACTGACAAAATTTTAAAAATGCATTATTGACACCATCATTTTAATTTGATGCTTATTTTTAACTTAAGACTCCGTACATCTGTATGTTAGCCCATAATAGTTAGTTAAAAAAATAATGCTCCTTGTACACTCCATGTTGTACATGGAGTTTGACATTATTTGCAAATTCAAAAATGAATGGGCGGAAAAATGTTTTTCATTTGAAAACTGGTCATTCGTTGTGCGACAAGTGACACAATATCAAACTTAATGTCAAAAAAAATGTACATGTAACAAGATTGTAATTAAAAATTTTAACAATTTGATGACTTGGCACGTAGACATGGAGAATTTTCGAATATAAAATGGATATTGAACTAAATAGATAATTTAAATGAAACATTTTGTAAAGTTGAGTGATAAATTCGAAATAAAATTAAAATTTAGTCATCAAGGTAATATTAAAAGTATAAAATTGAATGAACATTGCTCAAATTAACCTTTTCACAAGAACTTGGTTTTGGGATAAAAACCAAGTCAAAAGAGATTTTATTTCCCAACGTTAGTCCCAAAAATATCTAAACCATTGAGACCCGAGAAACGGCCACGTAGCCTCCCACCTTTTCGATTTCTGGAGTGTGCTATAAAATGCTGCTACGTAGATGATATTTATTTTTCCATTCATTCATTTTGGTTCCCAAGATATAGATAAGATCGAACTTGAGGTTGGGGTTTTCCTCTCTTCTAGTTCTAACTTTTATCTTCTATGGCTCATTTTCGGTATTATTATTATTATTATTATTTTTTTTTTTGTCTATACAGTTTCTGCGGTACTTCGATTTTGTGTTTAATGTGTTTAATTATGCTAAGCTTTGATTCACTGTGTTCATTTTTGTTATAAATCCTTTTTTTCTGTTTGTTATATATATATTTTTTCTTTTTTGAGGTTAAAATCAGTGTCAATCACCCAATTTATAGTGCTACATTTTCGTCACCGTCTTTTTCAAAATTAATTATTGAGCTTTTAGTTGTTTCTATCTATTGTTGGTCTTTATTTGCTATAAATTAGCGAAAATAGCGATTGCAACCACTAGTGATGTGGGAGGAGGCTGTATTGAATTGGGAAAGAATAATAAGATTTTCCCTCTTTTACATTTATTTTTTTATTACTATTATTTTTATTTTTGTTATTTTTGGAAGGGGAGATACGACTAGTCCAACAAGAACAAGTAGATTATGAACCTTTTCAACACCTACATACCCAAGTTTTATGCAATAGAAAGGTTGGACAATCTCATTTACCCTTGTGGTCAGATAAATCATTTGCTATTCCATGACATGGGATCATGGAAAATGATTTATAAGAATAATAAATCAGAATGGAAACATGAACGAAATAATATTTTTACCCGGCAGCGTTAAAGGTTCTATAAATGTACTCTGGAAAAATTTAGAATGTAGTTCAAGGTACCATCTTAGGAATCTTTTAGGCATGCTTATGATGATGTTTTCAGCGGTTTCTAATTTGTCTAGTCAATTGTGAACAATACCAGAGGAGACCTGTAGAAAATCCCCCTTAAATCGGAGTATTTCTTCTGCCATTTTTTTATCTGTATTTTCAAAGAATCGGTGACATTTTACAAAATATGAGGAAATATATCTGTAGAAAACATTTAGCAGAAAAAATTTCTTCACATATAATGAGATAAAATTAGTAGATTGAACATTCTCGGATGATTTCTTAGTGAGGATTCATCTTTGTTGTCATTATTCTGTTTGCATTTGTTGGACCTCCATTAGGATTGCATCATTGCTCTCATTAATGGTTGAGAAATTATATCAAAGAGAGTTAAAATGATATATGAGATATTTCGTCTGCACTATATGATCAAAAGTATCAAATTTCTGGTTGGTTTTGTTCTTCATATTATAGTTTCAATTGTGATTCATGTATATGGAAATTAATTCCTTAAAAATTGACAATCTTGTTTTTTATCCTGATCGTTCATCCAGAAATGGCTTCTATGCAAATTACTTTGACATCAGTTGTTAGCAGTAATGGGAATCACTCTGCCCCATTGAAGTTTCCTAACAGTTCGATATGAGGAAATATATCTGTAGAAAACATTTAGCAGAAAAAATTTCTTCACATATAATGAGATAAAATTAGTAGATTGAACATTCTCGGATGATTTCTTAGTGAGGATTCATCTTTGTTGTTATTATTCTGTTTGCATTTGTTGGACCTCCATTAGGATTGCATCATTGCTCTCATTAATGGTTGAGAAATTATATCAAAGAGAGTTAAAAATGATATATGAGATATTTCGTCTGCACTATATGATCAAAAGTATCAAATTTCTGGTTGGTTTTGTTCTTCATATTATAGTTTCAATTGTGATTCATGTATATGGAAATTAATTCCTTAAAAATTGACTATCTTGTTTTTTATCCTGATCGTTCATCCAGAAATGGCTTCTATGCAAATTACTTTGACATCAGTTGTTAGCAGTAATGGGAATCACTCTGCCCCCTTGAAGTTTCCTAACAGTTCATTCTTGCCTGGGATTGACGTGACTGCGCATGTTGCTGGCGGGCAGAGAAGGGCCATCCGGTCCACTTCTTTTTTAGGCCCCAAAGCTACATTAACCTTTGATCCACCTACTACAAATACAGAAAAGCCCAAGCAACGGAAGCACACAGTTGATCCTAATGCTCCTGATTTTCTTCCGCTTCCATCCTTTGAGGAATGCTTTCCAAGAAGCTCTAAAGAATACACGTGAATGCCAAACTATCTGTTCCTTTGTGGTTTCAAAATTTCCTGTCATCTTAGTTAAAATTTCCCACTTCAACATTGCAGTCAGACATACGTGAAGAGATTTTAGCATGCGTACATATGTGCATCTCTCACATGCATTTTCTCAGATGTTTGATGCTGCGAACTGATTTGCAGGGAAGTCATTCATGAGCAATCTGGTCATTTGCTCAAAGTTCCATTTCGACGCATCCACCTAGTAGGAGATGAACCTCATTTTGATTCCTATGACACCAGTGGTCCACAGAACATAAGCCCACTAACTGGTATGCGTATGAAATATTCCACATCTGCCACCTACTACAAATACAGAAAAGCCCAAGCAACGGAAGCACACAGTTGATCCTAATGCTCCTGATTTTCTTCCGCTTCCATCCTTTGAGGAATGCTTTCCAAGAAGCTCTAAAGAATACACGTGAATTCTGCCAAACTATCTGTTCCTTTGTGGTTTCAAAATTTCCTGTCATCTTAGTTAAAATTTCCCACTTCAAAATTGCAGTCAGACATACGTGAAGAGATTTTAGCATGCGTACATATGTGCATCTCTCACATGCATTTTCTCAGATGTTTGATGCTGCGAACTGATTTGCAGGGAAGTCATTCATGAGCAATCTGGTCATTTACTCAAAGTTCCATTTCGACGCATCCACCTAGTAGGAGATGAACCACATTTTGATTCCTATGACACCAGTGGTCCACAGAACATAAGCCCACTAACTGGTATGCGTATGAAATATTCCACATCTAACATCTTTATTCCTTTACTGTTCTGAAGTTATTTAGATATGCAAAAGATTCTAGCAAGGTTGTTTATTATTGATTTCTCGTAATAATTTATTTGAGAAATATCATCGTTCTCTTTTTGGAAGAGCGTCTTGATCATTGACAGATGATATTATTTTCTGGTATTTCTGCACTGCATTTTTAGCCTATGTTTTGCTGCCTCTATTTTTTCGGAAGCTCATTTTTTCCAACTCATTTTCAACCTCACATTCTCCCATAAAATAATAGTACATGTTTTTATTTATTTTTTAACCATGCATTCTCTAAAATTCACAATTCCAAAACTCATTTCCCCCAAATTTCCATTAAAATGGAACCCAAACAAGGGCTAAGTTTATTGTAACTTTATGTTGCATTCTTCAGCTTTCTTATAATTATTAGGGACGTTGTTGTTAAACAGGACTCCCCAAGTTGCGGAAGGAGTGGATTGACAGGAGGGAGGAGTTGGGTGGTCAAAGGTGTACTCAGATGTTCTATGCTAAGCAGGGAATTGTAACAGAAGAAATGGCATACTGTGCTGCTCGTGAAAAACTTGCCCCAGAATTTGTGAGATCAGAAGTTGCTCGTGGTCGTGCAATCATTCCGTCTAACAAGAAGCACACAGAGTTGGAGCCAATGATAGTTGGACGCAATTTCTTGGTGAAAGTGAATGCTAATATTGGGAACTCTGCCGTTGTGAGCTCCATTGAGGAAGAAGTTCATAAGCTTCAATGGGCAACAATGTGGGGCGCTGATACCATTATGGATCTCTCAACAGGCCGTCACATCCATGAAACACGTGAATGGATCCTTCGTAATTCTGCTGTACCGGTTGGGACTGTGCCCATCTATCAAGCATTGGAGAAAGTGAAAGGAATTGCAGAGAATCTGAATTGGGAAGTTTTTAGGGAAACATTGATTGAACAGGCTGAGCAAGGTGTAGATTATTTTACAATCCATGCTGGAGTCCTGCTCCGATACATCCCACTAACAGCAAAACGAATGACTGGAATAGTTTCACGTGGAGGATCCATTCATGCCAAGTGGTGCTTAGCTTATCACAAAGAGAACTTTGCTTATGAACATTGGGATGAGATACTGGACATCTGTAATCAATATGACATATCTTTGTCAATTGGTGATGGATTGAGGCCTGGGTCAATATATGATGCAAATGATACTGCTCAGTTTGCAGAGCTCTTAACTCAAGGAGAACTGACCCGCAGAGCTTGGGAAAAGGATGTGCAGGTAATATTTGCTTCAAATTTTATAATGTATGGCATATAGTTCTTCACCTATTAAATCCTAAATTTCCTTTTTTTTCCTGAAAAATTATATCTTAGTTTTAAATTATTGTGGCACCATTTTTTTAAAAAAAAATTTAAATATTAGTTTGACACGCGTTATAAAGAGAAATTTTGGTAAAATGTATTATGGAATAGTATTTTTTTTTTGAATGTGTCATTAAAAAAGAAGGAAAATCTTTTTGATTTACTTGTAATATTATTTTATTGAAGAATTTGTGGTTGAAAAGCAGAGAGAAAAATGTATTAAAATTTTAATGTGTGTCAAACAAGGGCTAAGTATCCTTAATGTGTTGTGAAATTTCTTTGTCGGCTACTTTTGCTGTTAAGATTGTATTATCTGTGCATTCAGGTCATGAATGAAGGGCCTGGACATATTCCTATGCACAAGATTCCTGAGAATATGCAAAAACAGCTGGAATGGTGTAATGAAGCACCATTCTACACGCTTGGACCTTTGACAACTGATATTGCTCCTGGATATGATCATATTACGTCAGCCATCGGTGCCGCCAATATTGGGGCTCTTGGAACAGCACTCCTTTGTTATGTGACTCCTAAAGAACACCTTGGTTTGCCTAATCGAGATGATGTGAAGGCTGGGGTTATAGCATATAAGATCGCCGCACATGCTGCTGATTTGGCGAAAGGTCACCCACATGCTCAAGCTTGGGATGATGCACTGAGCAAGGCTAGATTTGAGTTTAGATGGATGGATCAATTTGCTTTGTCACTGGACCCTGTGACTGCCCTGTCCTTTCATGATGAAACCTTACCATCTGATGGTGCTAAGGTGGCACATTTCTGCTCTATGTGTGGGCCTAAGTTTTGTTCCATGAAGATAACCGAGGATGTCAGAAAATATGCAGAGGAGCATGGATATGGGAGTGCGGAGGAAGCGGTCCAGCATGGTATGGATTCTATGAGTGCCGAGTTCCTATCTGCAAAGAAAACTGTAAGTGGGGAGCAACATGGTGAGGTTGGAGGAGAAATCTACCTGCCAGAGGATTACATGAAGTCTATGAAGGGCTAAAGGTGAGTCTTATGCCTTTCATCCTGTAGCTTATACAATCTCCAAAACTTGGCTGGCTTAGTAAAGATGTGTGTTAAGAAAGAGTTCTTAGACTCTCAGTCGTCACCACCTTATGAAATGACATCAATGAAAAATTAACAAGATTGGAATTTGAAGGGCGCATAATGTAACACGGGATAAAGATAGAAATTAGGATTTGGCCCCTCTCTGTTCGCATCTTGTGATCAGGAGATGGATGGTTCCTGTTCTTGTAATGCCTTTTCTGCTTTGAATAATTGTTTGATTACAAAAGAAAAAGTTGATAAAAGAAATCGACAATCTAAATTTGAAAATTTAATATTATAGACTCCTTCAATGTGTCAGTAGGTGTGAGATTATATGCGTTGTGTCTCTCTGTATGTGCTAGAGAGAGAGAGGGATGCTGTTTCAACTATCAAATTTGTCAGTTGCATGAAATGGTTGCAGCTGGAGCACTTATTTGTTACACTTCCAATTTTTCTCTTTATTTCTTGGCTGATCAAAGCCAGTATAGGGTGGCCAATGATACCAAGCTTATGTGTCAGCTTCAAGAAGTCCCTCCCAATGTGTGGGTTAGCATCTAATTATATTAGTCGTAAACCTTCATATGTTGGTTGAGAGGGAGGGAAATGAACATACAATAATTTCAACTCGATGTGGTTGGTCCATGGAACGAGGGGTTGTCACTTGTCATAATTGATCTTGGTAGTTCTATTTATGATGTAATACATGTTTATCTTCACACACTAGGATTATTTCGACAAAAGTTTATCGGACTAATTAATTATGGTATTCAAGATCTAGTTTTTAATCAGTTTCCTTGATTCTACTCATATATGCTAGATTAGAGCGCACGAAAAAATGTAGCAGCCAGGTTAATGCTGCTTAGATCATTTCATTCATTTGAAGGGCCAAGTTATTTGATTTATCACTTGTCTTTTGAGTCTCTCATGAATAACTTTCTGGAAATTATGTTTACTTAAGTCTCATTTCATTGATGAGAGGAGCTTCTTTCTAACAGGACAATGTGAACTGCCTGATATGGAACTGAATATCCTGAAGCAATGATGCACGGCTGGCCAGTCCCGAGAATGGTGCTCCAGAAATCTCATCTTTAAGCAGTAGGTAAGTAAATAGGTTTTAGTCTATTGGGAATAACGTATGAGAGTTTTGTTTGGGAATATTCGAATGGTCTTAGTAATTGGGAATAAAAACACTTTGTCTACTCAGTTTCTGCATTAAGTGCATGTGATTGATGAAAAAAGCACCAGGGGTGTCTGCATCTGCTTCATAAGCAGGTCAGGCTGAGAAAGTCCCTTTGAACCTGAACAGGTTAATACCTGCGTAGGGAGCGTGCGTTTTGTTTTCTGTGCTTGCCCAGGGCAGGAAATTCCTCCAGGGAGGAGAGGTTCAGCTCGTATCTGGCCAGGAAGCACGTGCAACTAACCAATTTAACATTTCCTAAATTACCCACATATGGCATGTTTGGTAAGTAGGAGTTGGACGATATTCAAAATAAATTACAATCTTGTTAATACACTGATGTCTGATAATTAGAAGAGTGAACTGCTCGCTGAAGTATTTTGAAGTTTGGAATATGAAACTATGAGAATTAATTATCAACCAACTTTTAAATAATTGCTTTCGAAGGAAAGTTCGAATTGAAACTGGAACCTAGAAGTGCAGATCATACAAAGCAATAGAAACCTTAAAATTTAAATCCCGTAGATTATCTTGTAAATGGGAAAAAAACGAAGAAAAATAAGAGAATACCTTTCCCTAAGATCAAACGATACAGAATTTTTATTTTTATATTTTTGAGACGGTATTTATGGTCTTACAATAGGAAGTGATTTGAGTATTTTAAAGAGGCATTTCAAAAGGAGCGAAAACGCCGCAGCCGAAATCCACCCAAAACTTGGCCACTATGTTGAGGAGACAAAATCAATTAGATTAAAGCCCTTTGAACAATCTCCTTGGATAACCAGAGGACCGTGTGGAACCTCCCTAATTCAGGGGATTGTCCAAGGGGCACGGCACAATCAATTATAGCAAAACTGGATAATAGGTCTGGAGCTGGTGGGTTTGGGATTGGGTGAAGGTTGGAGTGGGAAGACAACGTCAGTGGAGCTGTGATGGGATGGATGGATGGATGGATGTGGTAGCACATACAGAGAGAGAGAGAGAAATTTTGTAGGATAAAGTTCTGTGTACGGAGTTTTTTTCACAGAGGTCTAACCGATTCCCATGTGAGGGGTCGGTCTCACGTGGGGCCCGATGCAATAAAAAATGAAGAAAAAAATATCGACCCCACTTTTTTTTGAGAACCCTGTACGCTCTCAGCACTGCCCAATTTTGTAAGGGAAATCTGGTCCAAGACTTTTGGGCTTCTTCGCAGAGGAGGGTGCCACACAGTCCAAAATAAGATGGGAAAAATTCATATTTGAGGTGTATTCTTTACACCATTTCAAAAATCAGGTAAAAAGTTTGAAAAATCAAAATTCAGGTTTCTATTTAATTAATTAAAAATATTTATTAAATAAATATATTGAAGTTACAGTGAAATAATTAATGGTCACAGATTTATTTACTAGTCACATATCATGAAATTAATTGGTCACAGATTTATTCACTGGCGACATATTTTTTTTTATAGATTACAAATTATTTCGAGGCCACACATCAAAAATTTTAGAGGTCACGGATTTTTTTAAGTAACGGATTATCAAATTTTAAGGTCACAGATTAATTTTTTTAGTCACAGATTGTCAAATTTTAAGGTCACATGCCAAATCGTTGGTCACATATACCAAATACTCCACTGCCGAACCAAATCCATCACCAATGCTTGGTCACAGAACAACCAAATGATCACCTCCACACCACCGCATTACCAGACCCTATTACGATCCCATTCCACCACAATATTTGGTCACAAACACTACCCACCCCCGTCACAACAACACCACAACCACCACCACCACATGAAAACTACCACCGCACCAAGTCAAGTCGGCCACCAGGCGCTACCTATTCCTCTTCAACATACCAACAATACTACCTCACAAACATCACATTGCCACTGAAGAACATACCACCCGCTACTGCAGAACAACACAATACTGCTGCAGCTATCGTAAACATCGTGGCTGGTGAACTGAGAGTTACCACTCACACCACGAACAAACATCGACCACTATAGCCACCGCCTGCACCACACCATACCGCCAGCTAGATCCACACCATACTCACAACACCATACCATCGCGACACTGCCATTCGCAGCAACGTCGACCAGCAAAAATTGAGCAGAGAAGAAGTACTCTTGCAATTGCATCGTCATCGTAGTGAGCAGAGAAGAATTGGCTCTCAAACCCCAGGCAAATGCCATGAATCACCAGTGAAATTTCCAATCGCCGTAAGACTCAGCTGCTGCACTTCGGCCTGAGTGAGCAGTAGGCGATGGTATGGTGTGGTCTCCGGCAACGATCGTCGATGTGAGTTCGGCGATGGTCTTCGACTGTGGGCTTGGTCTCCAGCAATGGACGGCGGCATAGGAGATGTGGGTTAACTAGAGAGAGTGAGGAGAGAAGATGCCCTAAAATTGAATTTTAGGGATGAATTGGGGATGAAATATTTAGTATTAATATTATTATTTAAATTAATATCTGAATTCTGAATAAAAAACCTTCCTACCTGATTTTTGCATTGGGATCTTTAAATGCCTGGACTTTTGTAATTTCCACAAATAAGATGGCATTTATGGGCTACCACATCCAACCATCCGCCAAAATGCTGTGATGGGATGGCGGAGTGGGGAAAAGATGCAAAAAAAATCTAACTAAAAGTTTTATGAGGGAAATTTGGTCCCAGTTTTACAAAAAATTGCCATTTATGCAAATCTTTGAAGGGTAATTATATTTAATTACAAATTTTGTTAACCGCAATGTATATTTAATTACATTGAAGGTTTTCAATTTTTGGTAATTTTTGCACTTTGGTCCTTGAATTTTTTTCAACGTGAACATATGTTTTAACCTACAATTAAGCCTCTATTTGATATTCGTTATCTTTCTTTAATTTATCTCTCATAGTCATTTTTAGCCACATATTTATACAATAAAATACTTTGTTCGTAAATTCAATTTTTTTCCTTACTTTATAACCCCACATTTTTCAAAAAATACTATATAAAATTATATTATATAAATTTTAAAGTCACCAAACATGGGTTAATTATCACATCTTTCTTCAATGATGGTTTCTATTTAAATATTCTATCAGCATGAGAAAAATATTTTTCGAACTTTCTTCTTGTTTATTTTGTTTATTTAAAAAGACAAGTAAAAATAGCATTTTACTCAATGCATATTTATTTTTCGCATTGCACACAAGATGTGTCAATTAATAAAAGATTGATGATAAAAATAAGATGAAAAATGTTGGACATAAGTGCCAAAATGAGTAAAGTTGGAGACATTTTTTACAATTAAAATGTGGTGCAATTAACCAGAAGTGTAGTGTGAGCAGTTCTACTCATTTTTGAAAAAAAATGACCATTTTTAGAATTGCGCGCATGAGAGTGGACATTGGGTGCAATTTCCCTTTTCTAGTTGAGAGTTAAAATGAATACAAGACTCGAGAGTTGGATTAGTAGCCCAAAAATGAGTCCACGCGAAATTGGATTTCATGCACGTAATAAAATCATGGGAAAAATTAATAATGTAGATGTATTATTTACACTAATTCAAAAGTCAAGTAAATAATTTGAAAATTGGGTAATTGGCACAAAACGTGTATACCTTTCATTTTTTGGAATTTTTGTCCTTATTTCAACCTTTTGTTGCGTTGAAGGTCATTTTCACTGTTTTGGAACGTAAAATGACAATTATACCCTCTTATTTAAAACAAAAAAACAAAAAACTAAAAAAAAGAAAATTTCAGAACAAATTACAACCCTACGCCTAAACTTTTAAAAAAGTGCAAATGATCCCCAATACTCCCTCAATTCATCACAACCAAGATTTTAGAACCACCACTTATGGACCACCAAAACTGCACTCTCCGGCCACCTTAGGCACGGGACCAACATACCATCTTGAAGCCCACACTTCCCTCTTCGTAACCTACCCAAGATTCGGTCATAACTCCAATCAATTTGGCCGAAAATTCAAGTCAAAATAGGTTACCCATGCAACAAATAGTGGTCGGAATTTACTTCCGACGACACCCATGCCCTACACAACCTCCACTTTGGCCGAACTAACATAACACCTTAAAGCCCTGACTTCCCTCTTCGCAACCCACCCAAAATCCGACCATAACTCCAATCAATTTGCCTGAAAGTTCAAGCCAAAATAGGTTACTCATGCAACAAAAAATGGCATGAATCTTCACTTTCGACGACACCCATGCCCTACACAACCTCCATGTCGATTCTACACATTAAAACATCCCTATCCATAGTCCTCAAACATCCTTTAATGCACACAATCAAACCCAGCCGGCTGAGCTTCGAACACAGTAACTGTGCAGCTTTCAAGCGATTTTTTTTACGCCAGTGGTGGGACCCATGATCGCGAACCACCACCTGAGGTACCTACACTTCATTGTGCATCCAATGAGCATATGTGTCTTCCCCATTATTGCCTAGACATGGTTATTCATTTAGAAATCGAGAAATAAACCTAACTTGCGCGAAGGAGAATTTGTACCATTAGAATGAAATTAATGAAAGCCCATTGGTTGGTATGTGTAGAGGGGAGTGAGGGATTTTTGTTGGTATGGAGATCTGATGCTATGGATAGTGGTTGGCCGAAATTTTTTGGCTTGAAAGGTGGCAGTGAAGGGGGGAGGAAGAGAAGAGAAAGTGTTTTTTTGTTATTTTCAATATTTTAAGTATTGGGGACTCATTTGCATTTTTTTAAAGTTTAGGGATAGGGTGCAATTTCTTTTTTAATTTTTCTCTTTTTTTTTTTTTTAAATAAGAGGGTATAATTGTTATTTTACGTTTCAAAACAATGAAAATGATTTTCAGCGCAACGAAAGGTTGAAATAAGGGCAAAAATGCTAAAAAATGAAAGTAGAGAGATCTTCCACAATAAGCTTGAAATGTAGGGATGTTTTGTGCCAATTGCCCTTTGAATTCAAAATTATGATAAATATTTAACTAATTAAAATATTTATTAATTAAATAAAATAAAGTCATAATTATAAAATTAATAGTCACAGATATATAATTATATGTTACAATTTATTTATTGGTTACATATCATTAAATTAAGAAAGGTGCCTAGGCCGTTAAGACCAAATCATCATTTTCATCTGGACGAAGAGTTATAGATTATTTCAAGATCAAATTAATTGGTCACAAATTATCAAAATTTTAGGTCACAATTAAATTGTTGGTCGCAGATAACTAAATGATTGGTTACATACGCCAAATAGTGGTCACATAACACCATCACCATCGTTATCCTCGCTATCACCACAACAGCACCATCAACACCAACAAAATCGCCACCACCAAATCAAATCAAATGCCAACAAAAATAAGGACATCCATAGCCACAACCAACCACTTTGTCGCCAGAAACCACCACGACTGCCACCACCACACACAC